TTTTGGTTGCGGGCCCTAGCTGTGGTGGCCACACATAGAACTTATTGCTCCACGACTACGCGTTAAAGCCATCGGCTGCAGGGTAACATTTACGCGCCCGGTCCAATGTTCGTTGCTCTCGAACAACTCGCGGTATTAGAGAAGCAAAAAAGTGTTTATGGGCAAGGACACCAGACGTGTGAGGTCGCTGTCTATAGTGCTCAAGCCAACACGTACACGATCGCACCGTGGTCGGAGATCGAGCTCTTCTCGAAACATCTGGTTTCTAATGTTAGATAGGCTAATTGCTGCACGTCGGAGTGTGATTGACGAGCCCAGCACGACACTTTCTTAATTGTGGCCGCGGGAATCTGTCAGGAGCTACGATCTATTCGTGGTTGTTTTTGCGTTTCTGTCTTTTCGTAGGAGTCATTTCTTACGCGGGTGCCATGTTGATATTTCAGTTATCGCCGCATAGATACTAACGACATGTATGGCGTTAGTATCTATGCTTACCGGCTCTAGCGAGAAACAACAGGAACAACAATGATTCGCTGTCGCCTGCACGGCTCCAGGCTACAGATAAGTGTTTAACAATGCACCCGCCGTTGCGTCGTCTGATGGAATTGCGTTCGATTTTCAATCTCCTCGCGAGGTCACATTTCCAACGAGCAAAACGCAGCGGGCAGCAATCGTGCTGCCCTTTGTCTGAATCATGGCGGCGGGTCTTACGGTTGATTAATGGACAAAGATTTAGTAGAGAAAATCGATGATGTCGTTATTTTTGTGTTTGAAGGTGCTGATATCTCCGGAATTGGCGGTTGGATTTGTCGTCTGTCGATGGCGCAAACGATTTGGTACGAAGATGGGCGAATGTACTGTGTCCGATTTGAGCTCAAGTTGGATGAGTTACGCGTAGTAAATCGTAGGTATTATAAGGCTAGTAAATGACGAATTTCCCTTGTTTATTGATGTCACACTCCTCCCTATTATACACTCCTGATATATATATATATTGTTTATATGTATATATTGTTCTCAGTGCTAGCTGCACCACATTAATATTATGTTGAATAGTTCTTTGAATACGATGGCCAACCATATTCTACCACAGTAAAAAATTATTATTGCCGAGTACGATGACCAACCGTAGTCGTGTCTTGAAGTTCTTAGTTGATGGTTAATTTGTGCACATAACGTGTATCCATCAGAATCGCCTATCCATTGCCAGGTCTGTTCTTTCCTCACCTCAAAGCCTACAATTGCGCGTTTTCCCATACCTATGCTAACCCTTCCTATGTTTAACCTGAAGGAGCCACAATAACAAAAGTACCATATGAAAAGATGTCGTGAGAGTATTATGAATCTGCATAACGAGACGTTGCTAATTTAACATTGCTACCAATCGAAGCATGACAACATAGCTCAACTAGAAAGAAGGCACTCGGGGAGTGCGAATCCTCTGCACATGAGATCACTACACCTGTGATATCAGAACGCTATTCTACAGCGCATTGAAATAAATCGATATCAGAACACTCTAGCACACACAACATGCCTGGAAAAACCGCCTGGAACACCCGCCCCGCATTAGAAATCGTACGGTGCTTCTGCTAATGACCCAGCATTTGCATGGTTCTATACTTATCATGCGGACGAAGTGTAGCTCTATAGAGATCAGTGTTCGAAATATACTTAATGACCCTGTGACCTTGACCTTGGGTCAAGCTCACTCAGAATCAATAGGGTTGTACCGCCCCATAAGATGCACCTGAGGACCAAGTTTGAAGTTTCTACCTCTTACGGTTGCAAAGATATCGAGCGGACACGCACGCACGCACGCACGCACGCACGCACGCACACACACACACACACAAACAATACCCTCTGCTACACTTCGTGCAGAGGATAACAATGTGTGTAACCGCTTACAAAATACAGTCCCCATGTGTATATAACAATCAGAGAAGCCTTTATTTACAATACATTTTTGTACACATCGATGAACATCCAGCAATAACATTCAATAATATAAAGACCATATACCATCTAATGAACTGTAAGTTGTTTACCAAAGCGTGCTATGAAATTATTATAGACAGATTTCACATCACCTCAGAAATTTTCATAGATTGTCACAAATTAGCAGTCCTTCATCACTGTTCAGTTTCATGGAATTTGCAAGATGGTATTGACTGTGACAGTGCAATGTACTCGATATGGGAACCAATTATAGGGCCTACTACAGGTTTGATACATTCTATCCAACAGTCATCAGTGGTGTGATCCACTCCTACCATACAGGTACCAGAGGTGTGATCCACTCCTACCACTACAGGTACCAGAGGTGTGGTCCACTCCTACCAATACAGGTACCATAGGTGTGGTCCACTCCTACCACTACAGGTACCAGATGTGTGGTCCACTCAGTCGAGTTATAGAGCGGAAGGGAAAATCTCTGCGGCGGCGGCTGTGCAGACATGAAACCATAGTATCCCTGCCGACGTCGTCGCGGGGGATACAATAACAATGAATGCAGCCACATTCCATCATGTAGCGACAATTTCATTGAAATAGGAAACCACTGGACAAAAGTGCATCTCACTGAGTGACGTATGTAGTTGTTCTAGGCTGGTATAACATCTCTATTGCTTAATTCAAGTTACCTTGTCAAAGTACAGGGACAGTGTCTCGCAAGAAACAATTAAGTGGCATCTTCAAGTGACCACGTCAAGATGATGTAAACAATCAATTTCAATCACTGAACATTTTTGAGAATATAACGATGTACGAGTGATCTAAGACACTAGCCTTACTTTAGACACTTGCTGTTTACAGTTAGTTACACAAGCAATACCAGTAAGTACTATAGTAGGTCAGGAAAATAGAGCAGGAAGAATTACTTTAATACTTGATTTAATGAGATTCGTGGCTGTGCCATGAGTGCATGTGTATGCTCTTATCTATGTGTATGATGCATTACTATACCAGTGGACTAACCCCTACTGTAGCATTTACTGTAAAATCAGCTGCGGGGTTACTGAAACGGAGATAGGCACCGCCCTATGCGCCATATAGGCGCGGGAAGGATTTAACTAACTAACTAACTAACTAACTAATTAATGATGCATTACTAGTGCATATGTCTATGCATATGTAATGTGCAGAGCCTAACCATTCAGCATGTCCATGTCCACCTCCAGGAATCCCTGTTTGATTGCCTCACTTACATCTCCTTTTACTAAAAGAAATGATGCACATTATTAGCAATATGTCTTGAAGATATACTTATCCATTACATTAAATTGGGCGTTTGGTCGACACATTTTATTCAGATAATAGATTATAGATCTTACATGAACCTTTTATTATAAAACAGTGCCTATATAATGATAGAAATATGGAGATCTGCATCAGAGCTCTGCTAATTTGGGCGTTTTATGAATTTTGTAATTTGGGAAAATTTTTTTTAGGCCTATTAGGATGTGCTCAGATGCATTTTCCCAGCATTTAGAGTTCATAATCACTAGTGTAAAGATTTGTGTACCGATCACAAAGAATCACATTCTAAAGGCCACCGCACATGAGCCGATAGGGAGCCGATTTCTGCCTATCAAACATGTTGTAGTGATCTAATTTCATAAAGATGGTCGAGAGTTGTATCACACAGTTGACTATCTGCCATGAAGAGAATTTATTTCAGACGACAAGTCAGGCAGAAATCAGCTCCAAATCGCCCCGTGTAGGGTGGCTTTAAACAGTTAACAAAAACAGAAAACTCCACGATATGACATAACAATACCATTGCATCAAATGAATGATATCGTTTTAATTGAATAATGTTTAAACAGATAAAGAATGAAAGATAAGGGTATCATGATAATATGGGAGCACATGTCCATAGTCCATATTTGTATTACACAATTGAGACAGTTTTGTACTATATTTATACAAGGGCGCTGATTTTCGAGGCAAGTGACGGTCTTCTAGGCGTGTGTGATGAAAAATCAGGTCCTAAAAAAATCATTTTCGTTTTTCGAAAAAGGGCACTTCAGGGGGTTGACGGGGGGGTTCGAACCACCCGAACTCCCCCCTGGATCCGCTCCTGCCAAACTCGATGATGAAATGGCTCATTCTTTGTAAAAAAGGCAAAATCTAGCACTACCAATGGTAGTACCATTCTAAATGAAAGTGTCAATGACACTGTAGCTCACCTTGGGTGTGATAGAAGAGGAAGGGGGGTATATAAAGCAAGAGTATATATGGGAGAACTTCCATTATATACTCTTGATAATGATGATATATGAGTAATTTTGATGCGAAAATAAATGTTTCAGATCTGTTGGCATACAATCTGATGGCGTTGACCGTAGGCAGACACTGAAATGCATAGTGGAATTGCCAAAATCTACGTAATTTGCATAATTTCTAACAAATATCAAAAACTCCTGTGATATGTTTTGGGGCCAGTCCTTATTCATTCACATACCAAAAATGAGCAAAATCCGTTGAACCTGCACTGACTTATGGCCATTTCGATTTTCGCCAAAAAGTGGTCGTGGCTAGAAACTAGGTCAACTGGCGTGCTCCAAAATAGGACGTTCACATCTCTCCCATAGGAGTAACAATTGTGTCCAATTTGAAACATGTGGGTCAAACGGTTCTTGAGTTCTCGTTGACCGTAGGCACACAATGAAATGCATAGTGAAATTGCCAAAATCTACCTACTTTGCATAATTTAAAAAAAAAATATCAAAACCCCCTGTGATATGTTTTGGGGCCAGTCCTTATTCATTCACATACCAAAAATGAGCAAAATCCATTCAACCTAAACTGACTTATGGCCATTCCCATTTTTGCAAAAAAGTGGACATGGCTCGAAAGTAGGTCGACTGGCGTGCTCCAAAATAAGAAGTTGAAACCTCTCCCATAGGAGTAACAACTATATGCAATTTCAAACATGTGGATCAAACGGTTCCTGAGTAATCGTTGACCGTAGTCAAATGTTGACGGACGGACGGACGGACGGACGATGGACGACACCCCACGGCAATAGCTCATCTTGACGATGTCTAGGCGAGCTAAATACCAGACCCAAAATCAATCTTGGAAAATACCATTGACTCTGTTGAATTCCACCCATCCCCCTGCAGCCATGATGCGCTTGCTTTCTGCCTCGTTGCTGGGTTTGTGATCGAAGGAGAGCTGTTCCACCTCTCCTCTTACCGACGCAACAGCCCGGGAGTCACCCACATTGCCCTGAATGAGAAATTCAACTGAGATCCGTTCTGTGTTGACATGCATCGCACCAGCAGATGCAACAACTTTTATTTCCAATTAGACAACTAATTAATTAGTGCAAAGCGGAGTGGCACAGCACATGGAAAGTCCAGCTCTGTTACAGATCGTTGCAAATGCCCAAACAAATATCATGCACCGCACATAAATTACTTCCAGACTGTTTCATTTCCCAGGTTACCTACAGCATAGAGCAAATACTGACAGCCGATGGTAAACATGCCTTTGCATCTCCTGGTAGCCAATAGAGCTGGCAGTCAAAAGTTTCATTACCGAGTTGTACTTACACAGTATATCTTGTCACGCTTCAGCAACACTACAACAGCGGTGGATCCTGCCAACTCATCCTTCATGCTCTCATCTGCAATCACACAGGATACATAATGACACACAAACAGCGAAGATCTACAAGGCTAACACACCACGTGAACATATTTACTGCAACATTTAGATTAACTAGCAGAAAGTATACCCGTAGAACCAGCAAATGTTGTTTTTAAATATAAACTCCATGTAAGTGACACAGATATAGTTAAATATTTCATGTAACTGAAAAGAAAACCACTGCACTGGGTACAACAGAACACTGGCACAGCTACTGGCCACTGACTACTGTGTCAGTACGGTGTACGTCTAAGCAGAGTGAGCAGGGGGAAATCTGCAGTAGGGGGGGGGGGATCTGAGACGTAGCACCATCTATTGAGGAATAGATTTTTGTTTGAGCCAGAACCATCTCCCAGACGTGGTGATTCTGAATATGCTCATACGGCGGCAGTCAAGAGACGCAGTGTAATTCCCACGGGTACAGGAGATAATTTGCATATTTTATCACGTGGTTTGTGTTATAACCAATCAGATGTAATCGCGTGTTCGTGACGTCACTTCCAGCTGTGAAGAAGATGGTGAAGGAGGAGGAAGGGGAGAAGGGAGAAGGTGGTGGAGAAGGACGAGGGGAGAAGCTGGTGGAGAAGGAGGAAGGGGAGAAGGGAGAAGGTGGTGGAGAAAGAGGGGAGAAGCTGGTGGAGAAGGAAGGGGAGAAGGGAGAAGGTGGTGGAGGAGGGGGAGAAGCTATTGGAGGAGGGGAGAAGCTGGTGGAGAAGGAGGAAGGGGAGAAGGGAAAAGGTGGTGGAGAAGGAGGAGGGGAGAAGCTGGTGGAGGAGGAGGGGGAGAAGCTGGTGGAGAATGAAGAAGGGAGAAGCTGGTGGAGAAGGAGGAGGTGGTGGAGAAGGTGGTGGAGAACTATACAGGTACCAGAGGTGTGGTCCACTCCTACCAATACAGGTACCAGAGGTGTGGTCCACTCCTACCACTACAGGTACCAGAGGTGTGATACACTCCTACCAATACAGGTACCAGAGGTGTGATACACTCCTACCAATACAGGTACCAGAGGTGTGGTCCACTCCTACTACTACAGGTACCAGAGGTGCGGTCCATTCCGTGTAGCACAGGCACCACAGGTAAGATACCTTCAGTATAAGAGGTACCACATGTGTAGCAAATTCAGTATAACATGTGCACCACAAGTGTGGTATATTCGGTGTAGCACAGGTAGCCAAGCTGTGAGCTATTTCATATAGCACAGGGACCCCCGCTGTGGTACATTCTATATAACACAGCTAACACAGACGTGGTCTATTCGGTATAACACAGATATCCCCGGCGTGGTACACTTGGTATAACACGTGTAGCAACTGTGATGCGCTCTGTGTAGCACAGAGACCACAGCTGTGGTATATTAGCAAGAGGCCATTAACCTGTTAATGGGGTTAATGGGCTCTTGATATTTGGTATAACACGGGTAACACATCAAAGAGGTGACGCACATAACTTGACCGAGCAAATTTTTGAAAAGCAACCACCATTCTCACCGATTCTTGCTTCATCTATATGTAGATTACAAGACCGTTGCCTTTATTAAAAATAAAATACACACACTTCCAGTGTATAAAATAACCTGTGGTTCTTGCACAATTTATAGCGTTATACTAACAGCTCCAACTACCATTAAATACGTTGTGATATTAGTTATTGTTTTCCCATTTTCAGTCGCACATTTAAAACATAGAACAACACTAGTATTACACTGGGATTACGTTGGATGCTACCTAGGAATAAGTGGGGATATCATATATTATTAAGGTTCTTCAAAACACAAGAATAATGTTACACGTGTAAACAGGTATGCCTGCTTGCAAATATATCAATATGAACCTCTCTATATATATACACATTTATATACACTTCAGTATATATACCGTATTTACTCGTGTATAAGTCAATCGTGAATACGTCGCACCCCATATTTTGCATTGAAAAATTGGTACAAACATTGGTACATTAACAGGATTTCTTAGCCTCGTGTGTCGCACTACTCTTTTTGTATTGAAGATGTGTACAAAAAAGTGTGACTTATACACGAGTAAATACGGTACATATGAGTAACATCATATCAGATATGATGCTGATCTGGAAAATATGATGATGAAATATTTTTATGATGAATAAATCGCATATATACTACAGACAATGGTTGTAACGGCTTTATCACACATATATTTGCAGTTGCATCATAGCAAAGAAACAAGTTCTCACTCATCAGATTGATAAACTGAATACATATAGTAGGTTACATGCAAGCCCATTTGAAATCATGTTCACGTTTTATAGCAAGTGCAATTTTCGGACAAAAACCCTTTTCAATAAAAGGTTCAAACATGGTTGCCCCACTAATAGTTGCATACAACATTATAACGATGCTGGTTGAGCAAGCAGATATGCTATCGAAGCTTACTACATTATGGTATAAACGTTTGGGCCCCTTTAACTAACTAAACATGACAAAGTATATATTTAATACAAACTATACAAAACAACTAGATGGCAGACATTCAAACAAGAGACAAACGAGCCTCATAGTTGGTGAGACCTACGAGACACTACCAGCCAGCTATGTAGTGTAATAATTTACTGGTGCAATACAGATGACATCTTTAGCAGTAAGTACTATGTGTTTTACACTTTGACACCTGATGCTTTCCTAGAATATCATTGAGGAATAAGGATATACCTTTCTGAGCACGTGCATTGATGTTTACCATAGTTGAGCCTCTGAACATTATTTGTTTTTATTTTGTTCACACTTGTCAGCACAAAATGCATTTAAATATAATCTTAATCTATGTTATTGGCCAAACTATGTCATTTAGATTTCAAAGGTGAAGCACACGTCAGTGACCACAATACCTGACATGTAAAAAGTTCATTACTGCATGTGACACTTGGCCAAAGGCAGAGATAAATGCTGACCACTTTACCTTAATAATCTATAGTGCCCGATTTTCCAAAATGATGACAAGGTTTTGACACACCAAATGACTTTTCATGCATTCAAACAGCAACATAGATTGTTCTCTAACCTTTAAAGAACCCCAAAAAACTGTAGAATATTCATGCTACTATGATGGTTTTTCTTCCTTTAATACAACTTTCTTACGGCAGACTTTTTTCATAGTCTGTGTGGTAGCTTCTATAAATATTTGACAATACAATCATCTATCTGAGAACCTATACAGAGATTAAGTCTATGGCAGCATAGGCATCTAGTGTGTGTGAACAAGAACGAGTGACTATAACCATAGACTGCCAAACTGCAATATTCTAGATGAATGCGTGGTCTTTATCCATGCAATGGCACTTCCATTGATGGTCACCCGAGCTCTGGCCAATTGAACAGCACTGTTGGGTAACCATCAATTATAAGCTATTGTTAAATAATCAAATGCATCCTACTAGGCAGATGGCTACTTGGCCTCTGACCAATCACGTGCCTCTGTTGACAACAGACTGTTTTCTGGATGAAGGTCAATGTCTCCGGGAGGGGTGTGAATGTCAACTAACCGGTCGGCCATCTTTGGCCGCCCGCACTTGAGGCAGAGATCTTCCCACGGCTGACCCTGCAGGAGGCACACTAGTACAACGGTCATGTTGTCACAGCCCAGGCCACCCATTTGGCAGTCAGGTGCCAGGCACCTCATCATCAACTCTTCACAGATCTGCAGTGAAAACGTGCAACAATATTCATTTGCTTCTGTGTTAGACGGTACCTGGTATACCAACCTCCATCGGCGTTCCTGCTACAAATGCCAACCATATTTACCATCCAAGAAATATGAAGGGCAGGTGGACAGTGACACAAAAAATAAAAGTACACATAAAACACTTTCAGGTTGATAAATTATTTCTCAGACAGAGGATTTGTCACAGCACCAAGATATATGCATTCTCATCCATACACGTATATATAAATATATAATATTAAAATAACTGACATAAACAAAAGTGAAAAAATTAATCAAAGGGCTGGGAAATTCCTCCCTAGGTTGTTTCATCCTTTCCTGGTATGGCATGATATCTGTAAAGCAATGTGCACATGCACCAAGTCTACGGGTGCATGCAACATCAAGTTAACACCTACCTGATCAGGTAACATCTGCTGTGCAAGTCGTGCACGCACAAAGTCAATCACCTCCTGATTCGTGAGCACGTCCCAGATTCCGTCGCAAGCAAGCACAATAAACTCGTGTTCTATGGTTATGTCCCGCACCACGACGTCTGGATATGCTGTAACAAATAGACATCATTGCAGCTAATAGAGAAGTTGGATATCTGCCACCAACATTTAGCAAGGTAAAATTACATATTGCAGAAAGGATAGTGGGAGAAAACATATGTATGGAGAAAGGCTTTTAACTCCTCACACCGTTGCATTTATTTTTAAGAAAAACACATCACTTTTACTAATGTAATTTTGAAGTATTACTAACTTTTAGTTAAGTATTACTAATTTTGGGTGCTGTTGACACAAGTGATTGCAGCTGAGAATGACTACATATTAGGAACATGAGCTATGTATAAGAATTATAGGAGCATGCAAGTATACAGATAATGCTCATGTATTCAAGAAATTGCAAGAGACACCCATGTTGCCTCAATCAGTGAATCAATGTTTTTTTCTCTCTACAAACTCATACCTGTCACTATCTGTTCCTCTGCCCGTTTTCGGTCATTCTTCTTAAATACAAAGTCTCCGAGAGCTCGTGATAAAGCCAGATTACCTATCCATCAAAAACCACTTATCATGATGACGCACTTTCTGATGAATTCATATATATATACCACAAGGGGCACTGCTGGCATGAACAACACTTTGTCTACAGAGCTTCAGCAGTTCCATTCATATGTTCTTCATAAGTTTAAAACAACCAAGAAAACATCTTTCACTCACATGGAACTTTACAACACAATTACAGAAGACAAACTAGAGAGTGCCTTTCCAAATGTTGAAATTGCATTAGGAATATTTTTAACATTAAAGGTCACCAACTGCACAACAGAGAGGTCTTTCTCACAACTGCAACGTGTAAAAAACCCAAATAGATCAGTTATGCTTCAAGAAAGACTCGACTCGCTGTGTATATTAACAATAATTGAAACAGATATTCTGAGAAGTATTACTTTCGAGGATGTTATCAGTGATTTTGCGAAAATGAAATGTAGAAAAATGCCTTTCAGGTCATGAATATTGGAACTTTGATACATTAAACTTGTGAAATATTAAAATAGATGTTGTATTGCATTTTTGTAGAACTTTATTTAGCCCAAGCTTTGTTTAGTTTGTACAGTATATTGTGTTATCATATGAATAAATTTTTGTACTGCTGCAACCTGCATTGTATATCTGGTCAGACAGGTCAACAACTAAAATGGATTGGGTCAGTGTGGAAAGGAGGGGGGCACCAAGATTGGTCAGTGCTTAGGGCACCAGTGAGCCTTAATCTGCCGCTGGTGCTGAGGAGTTATGTAATATGTTTATTGAGATTCATGTATTATGTAGGTACATGTATGATCTGCAGAAGAGCCCCTACTGTCGTACACCACCTATATTCGCACTGACAATATATATGCGTAAGTGCGTGGGTGTGCACGTCCACGTGCGTGCGTGTGCACGTACAAGTGCGTGCGTGCGTGCGTGTGGCCATACATGTACGTGCATGCGTGCGTGTGTGCGTGCGTGTGCGTGTTGTCATACATGTACGTGCATGCGTGCGTGTGTGCGTGGGTGTGCACGTCCACGTGTGTGCGTGCGTGTGCACGTACATGTGCGTGCGTGGGTTCGTGTGTACGTACCCGTGCGTGCATGCGTACGTGTGTGCTTGCGTGCGTGCGTATGCACGTCCACGTGTGTGCGTGCGTGCGTGTGCACGTACAAGTGCGTGCGTGAGTGCGTGTGTGCGTGCGTGTGGTCATACATGTACGGTGCATGCGTGCGTGTGTGCGTGGGTGTGCACGTCCACGTGTGTGCGTGCGTGCGTACGTACACATGCGTGCATGCGTGCATGTGTGCGTGCGTGTAAACGTGCACGTGTGTGCGTGCGTGTGCGTGTGGTCATACATGTACGTGCATGCGTGCGTGTGTGCGTGCGTGTGCAGGTACACGTGTGTGCATGCGTGCGTGCGTGTGCACGTGCACGTGTATGGGTGCGTGCGTGCGTGTGCACGTACATGTGCGCACGTACAAGTGTGTGCGTGCGTGCGTGCACGCGTACGTGTGTGCTTGCGTCCATATGTGAAGTGGGTGTTTATTCTTTTGTGTGTGCTGAGGAGTTATGTAATATGTTTATTGAGATACACTGTGATATTAGTGGTGCATATGTGAAGTGGGTGTTTATTCTTTTGTGTGTGCTCAGGAGTTATGTAATATGTTTATTGAGATTCACAGTAATATTAGTGGTGCATATGTGAAGCGGGTGTTTATTCTTTTGTGTGTGTGCTGAGGAGTTATGTAATATGTTTATTGAGATTCACAGTAATATTAGTGGTGCATATGTGAAGCGGGTGTTTATTCTTTTGTGTGTGTGCTGAGGAGTTATGTAATATGTTTATTGAGATTCACAGTAATATTAGTGGTGCATATGTGAAGCGGGTGTTTATTCTTTTGTGTGTGTGCTGAGGAGTTATGTAATATGTTTATTGAGATTATTAAAATGCTACAAAGACTCAAGTTGCAATACAAATTATGTATATCTTTATTTCTAAAATGCAGCCATTTACTACAGACACTATAGGCATTACTGCTGACAATAGCTCGCCTAAAGTTGGAAATCATGAAGCACACCTTAACAATTCTTCCACCGAGAGAAATCTTCTGATGGGGCAGGTCTCTTTTTAATATTTTAAATGTATGTCTTGCTTAGACCAATGACCCTCTCTACATGAATCCTCTTAGATGCGATACGTCTATCCCTAACAACTGTCTCTGCATTAATGAAGAAAGTAAAGAATGAAGGCTAGACTTTGCCTGGTACTGCACTTAACGCTTAACTCGAGTTAAATTTTGTCGTGTAGACGAGCTATAAGTGAATCATTGACCTAAAATGTACACAAAATGTATAAGGTGGTATGGCATGTATTGTAATATGTAAAGGTTCTTATTTCTTACTGCTTGGGGGGGAAGTGGAATGCAAAATGAAATGAATGGGGTTAGCCGCTAGAAACAGTTGCCGCTTGAGGGCAGCACTTCTGCAGAGGTGAAGATTATCCGCGTACCCAGATGCACACCCGGGATAGAGTGGGGGAAGTGGGTGTTTATTCTTTTGTGTGTGCTGAGGAGTTATGTAATATGTTTATTGAGATACACTGTGATATTAGGGTGGCATATGTGAAGTGGTGTTTATTCTTTTGTGTGTGTGCTGAGGAGTTATGTAATATGTTTATTGAGATTCACAGTAATATTAGTGGTGCATATGTGAAGCGGGTGTTTATTCTTTTGTGTGTGCTGAGGAGTTATGTAATATGTTTATTGAGATTCATGTATGTATGTAGGTACATGTATGACCTGCAGAAGAGCCCCCTACTGTCGTACACCACCTATATTCGCGCTGACAATATAATATATGCGTGCGTGCGTGGGTGTGCACGTCCACGTGTGTGCGTGCGTGCGTGTGCACGTACAAGTGCGTGCGTGCGTGCGTGCGTGTGGTCATACATGTACGTGCATGCGTGCGTGTGTGCGTGGGTGTGCACGTCCACGTGTGTGCGTGCGTGTGCACGTACATGTGCGTGCGTGCGTGTGCACGTACTCGTGCGTGCATGCGTGCGTGGGTGCGTGTGTACGTACCCGTGCGTGCATGCGTACGTGTGTGCTTGCGTTGCGTGCGTATGCACGTACAGTGGTGCATGCGTGCGTATGTACGTGCGGGCGGCGTGTGGACGTACACATGCGTGCATGCGTGCGTCGCGTTTTGCACGTACACGTATGGCTGCGTGCGTGCGTGCGTGTGTACGTACACATGCGTGCATGCGTGCGTGTGTGCGTTGCGTGTAAACGTGCACGTGTGTGCGTGCGTTGCGTGTTGTCATATACATGGTACGTGCATGCGTGCGTGTGTGCGTTGGTGTGCAACGTCCACGTGTGTGCGTGCGTGTGCACGTACATGTGCGTGCGGTGCGTAGTGGCACGACTACGTGCGTGCAATGCGTGCGTGCGTGCGTATGTACGTCCCGTGCGTGCATGCGTACGTGTGTGCTTGCGTGCGTGCGTATGGCCGTACAGGTGCGTGCGCATGCGTGCGTAGTACCGCCTGCCGTGCGTGCGTGTGAACGTACACATGCGTGCATGCGTGCGTGCGTTTTGCACGTACACGTATGTCGTGCGTGCGTCTGCGTGTGTAGGCGTACACAATGCGTTGCATCGCCGTGCGTGTGTTGCGTGGCGCTGTATAACGTGCACGTGTGTGCGGGCGTGGTGCGTGTTGTCATACATGTACGTGCATGCGCGTGCGTGTGTGCGTGGCGTGTGCAGTCACAGTGTGTGCATGCGTGCGTGTTCAGCGTGTGACCGCAGTGTATGCGTGCCGTGCGTGTGCACGTACTCCGTGCGTGCATGCGTGCGGGGTGCGTGTTGTTAGCGTACCGCTGCGTTGCATTCGTATCGTGTGCTGCTTGCGTGGCGTGCGTATGCACGTACAGGTGCGTGCATCGTGCGTATTGTACGTGCGCGTGCTGTGCACGTTCACACATGCGTGCACGCGTGCGTGGCGTTTTGCACGTACACGTATGTGCGTGCGTGCGTGGTGTGTTACGTACACATGCGTCATGTGTGCGTGTGTGCGTGCGTGTAAAACGGTTTACGT